AGTGAGGAAAGAAATGCGCTGAGGGTCGACCTCCCTCTCTCCCTACCAGCAGCAACAAGCCAACATCTAACCGATCGGTCGCCTGAGGTAGGATGGGCACACTGACTATCAATGCTGGAGAACCCACCTGTGCGCGCCACAGCCGGCACCAGTATCACTTCAGACGCAACAAACACTGGGCTGATCGTGTGTCTGGTAAATGTGTCAGTTGGCAGTGTTGAAAGTGAAATAACCTATAGGCTGTGCAAAGAACTAAGGTTGTTGCCTGGCTGCTTTTTGGTTTCGCGGGCCTCAATTATCTGGTTCATGATCGAGATCGTTTAATGTCAGCACCGCCATACTGCCTAACATAATAACCCTACGGAAGACGTTTAAACATCCTTGATCAGACATACATCCTCCTCTACAGCACATGCTCGAGCATGTATTGTATTTGCTGACCCCTTAGGTACTCGTTAGTGATTTGATGTCAACGTAAAAATTGATGACCATACAGCTTATAAACTGGACCGGTCGCTTTGATTTTTGCGGTTCGACTCGTACAATGGTTCGAATTTTCCTTAAAAAATATGTCGAACTAAATATCAGGCAAGTTCACTTTTACTTAAAAAATGTACTATTTAAGTCTGATTAGATGATTAGCCTTGTTACTGTCAATTGGTATGCTTCTTAATGTTAAAATCTTTAAAACGATTGCTTCGTCCGTTATTTATGATATAAAATATGATTGTTCCTAATCTTAGCGTTCATAAAATATTTCTTAATTTTTTTCAAATTACAGAATTTTACAGAGAGGAATTACATTTATTATCATTATAACCCCTATTTGCCATCTTTATATCTTTATTTGATGATGACTGCGAGGATACTGCCACTCACTGATTTAATCCAATTTGCGGTTGCATTTGCCCTTATGGTCTCCAATCTAAATTAAGTACAAATTCCGTCATACATTTCTATACGCTATTAACAAGAAGTTGTATAGAGGTCATGACATTTCAAAATGGATGTGGACGCTGTTGAATACTTCATAAGCAGCTTTCGTCAACGGAAAGATACGATACTGTGTGAATGGACATTTATCAGTTGAGAAGAAGACGACTCTATCGCTGGGACAACATTTTCATTCGCCTGACGTTTCGACATCCATCGCGGATTCTTCATCAGAGACATGAACAGAAAGCAATAGCATTAACGGGTTGTCAAAACGCCTGTGCTGAAACTGGATCTACGGATAGGTTGAGGCCTCACGAAGAGTAAACGTTTCCCATCGTCTTGCCAATCGGAGCGAATCGCACCTTAACTGTATAAACGTTTCTCTGTAGACACATATTTATAACTTTTCCGTCAAAGCAAGATCTGTTTCGGCACTCCAAAGAAACTAAGCATTACAGTGGCTTCGAGAATTCAAAATCCGTAGCTGCAACTTCATCAGCATCCTTCGAGGACAGAGAGGTGAGAAGGATCCATTTTCCCGCGTGGATTGTATTGGTAAGCATTATCAAGTCCACAATATTGGGTCCGTGATTCCAAATGAAAGTTTGAAGTTCGCATAGGCACGAATACTCTTACACACTATGTAGCTATGTTCA